AAAAAAAAAAAAAAAAAAAAAATTTGTTAGAAATTATAAACAAATTCAGTAAAATTTCAGGATACAAAATCAATATATAAATATCTGTTGCATTTCTATACACTGATAACAAACTATTGGAAAGAGAAATTAAGAAAACAATCTCATTGCTTCAAAAAGAATTAAATATCTACAAATAAATTTAACTAAGGACGTAAAAGACCCGTACACTGAAAACTATAAGACACTGGTGAAAGAAATTGAAGAACACAAATAAATGGAAAGATATTCTGTGCTCACGGATTGGAAGAATTAATATTGTAAAATGTCCATACTGTCCAAAGCAATCTACAGATTCAAGACAATCCCTGTCAAAATTCCAATGGCATTTTTCACAGCTATAGAACAAACAATCCTAAAATTTGCATGGAAGCCTAAAAAACATCCCAAATGACCAAAGCAATCTTGAGAAGGAAGAATACAGCTGGAGGCATCATGATCCCTGATTTCAAACTGTATTACAAAGCTAAAGTAATCAAAAGAGTATGGTATTGGCATAAAAACAGACACATGGATCAATGGAACAGAATAGAGAGCCCAGAAATAAATCCATGCATATATGGTCAATCAATTTATTACAAAGGAGCCACAAATATCCAATGGGGAAAGGATAGCATCTTCAACAACTGGTGTTGGGAACACTGGACAGCTACATGCAAACGAATGAAACTGGACCACTATCTCACACAATACACAAAAATTAATTCAAAATGGATCAAAGATTTGTCCACAAGGCCTGAAACCATAAAACTCCTAAAAGGAAACACAAGTGGTAAGCTTCTTGACATCGGTCTTGGTGATGACTTTTTGGGTTTGATACCAAAGGCAAAGGCAGCAAAAGCAAAGATAAACAAACAGGACTACATCAAACTATAAACCTTTTGCATAGTAAAGGAAACCATCAACAAAATAAAAAGGCAACTGACAGAATAGGAGGAAATACTTGCAAATCATATATCTGATATTTTGGTTAATATCTAAAATATATAAAAAATCACACAATGCAGTAGCAAAACCCCTAAACAGTCCAATTTAAAAATGGGCAGAGGAACTGAATAGACATTTTTCCAAAGAAGACATACAGATAGCCAACAGATAAATGAAAGGTGCTCAATATCACCAATCATCAGGGAAATACAAATCAAAACCACAATGAGATATCACCTCACATCTGTCAGAATGGCTATTATCCATCCATCCAACGGTCCATCAACAGATGAATGAATAAAGAAAATATGGGATATATATATTATGATTATATACATTTATAATTCAGCCACAAAAAAGGAAGTCTTGCAATTTGCAACAACATGAATGAATCTTGAGGGCATTCTGCTAAGTGAAATAAGTCAGGGGGAGAAAGCCAAATACCATATCAACTCACTTATATGTGAAATCCAAAAACAAACAAACAAAAACCCCCAACACCCCCAAACAAACAAAAAGACCAAGCTCATGGGTATAGAGAACAAATTGGTGGTTGCCAGAGGTTCGGGTGAGGGTAGGGGGTGCAAAATGGGTCAAGGGTGTTAAAAAGTACAAACTTCCAGCTATAAAACAAATAAGTAATGGGAATGTAATATACAAAATGGTGACTAGTGTTAACAATATTATACTGAATATTTGAAACTTGTTAAGAGAGTAAATCTTAAAAGTTCTCATCACAAGAAAAAAATTGTAACTATGCGTGGTGGCTGATGTTAACTAGATTTATTGTGGTGATCATTTTGCAATATATACAAGTATTGAATTATTATGTTTTACGCCTGACACTAATATAATGTTATATGTCAATTATATCTCAATTTAAAAAATGGACATTAATGTGTTGCTGAGGACATGGAAAAATTGTGACCCTTGTGCATTACAAGTGGGAATATAAAATGGTAGAGTCCCTGTGGAAAATGCTTTGGTAGTTCCTCAAAAATTTAAGCATATAATTACGTATAACCCAACAAGTTCACTCTTAGGTATCTACCCAAAAGAATTGAAAACAGGTGTTCAAACAAAAACTGGCACAGGAATGTTCATAGCAGCATTATTCTCAATAATTAAAAGGTGGAAACAACCAGTGTCCAACAACAGATATATGGATAAATAAAATGTAGCCTAGACATAGAATGGAATATTATTCAGCCATAAAAAGGAATGGCATTCTGATGCATTCTACAACACGGGTAAACTTTGAAAACATTATACCAAGTGAAATAAGCCAGGTACAAAAGGACAAATATTGTATGATTCCACTTATATGAGGTATCTAGATTAGGCAAATTTACAGAGAAAGAAAGTATTATAGAGGTTACCAGGGCTGGGGCATGTGGGGTGGGGAGGGAAGAATAGAGAGTTATTGTTTAATGAGTGCAGGGTTTCTGTTTGGGACAATGAAAATGTTCTAGAAATGAATAGTAGTGATAGTGGCACAGCATTGTGAATATACTTAATGCCACTGAATTACACACTAAAAAATGGTTAAAATGGTAAATTTTATGTATATTTTACCACAATTTTTTTTTTTT